GGGAGCCCAGAGTCTCCGCAAGGCACTGGCAAGGGGCTGCAGGACCCCCGGAGGAATGGGATGAACGGCACCAAAGGCAGCACTCCCGAAGGTACGGGAAGCTGGCACTGCCCTGCTTTGGGGGTGCAGGACTGGGGCACGAGGGTGTTTGCTGCCGGTCTCCTGCGCGGCCCTGCCCGCACAGAGGGTTCCTGGCAGGGAACCGTGCTTGGACGGGGTAGGTAAGAGCAAACGGAGCATCTCATCCAGCTCCTGCCCCAGCAGAAAACCAGCTCTGGGGCAACCCAAGGTCAGAGACGATGGGGTTTTTGGGGGGCAGCTTTCTGTGGGAGGTTGCGGAGGCTGGGTTTGGGCATACCAGGGCGGTAAGCTGGTCTCCCTGCTGCCAGGATGCTCGCCGACCCCCCGCCCAGGCCTTCCCACCCCCAGCTCTGCCCCCGACGACTTCTGCTACGTCTTCGTGGTGGAGCTGGAGAGAGGCCCCATCGGGCTGGGGATGGGGCTGATCGACGGCTTGGTGAGTTTGCACTGACTGCGGAACAGGGCTGGTGCCCCTCCAGATACCTGCGGTGGGACGCGTGGGATATGTTTTATACCCCAGGAAAAGCCAGTGAAGAAGCTAATGGCTTCCCATGGGAGCTGGACTGCTTCTCCTGGGGAGAAGAGGGAGCGAGTGATCTCTCGGGAGGAGCAGATCTTTGCTCCCGGGTCGCTGTGCCGTGCACGCGAAGTCCATGGCAGCTGGAGAGAGCAGACAGGCTCAGGGCTCTCGTGGAAGGAAAATGACTCAGCTGAGCTCTTTCCTCCACCCTTCAGCGGGCGGCCAGGGAAGCGGAGGGGAGCAGCGACAGCACTCGTTGAATACGTTGGTGTTGCGATCTGGGGTAGCGCAGTGGATGATGAAAGGCCGTGCGTTAGTCAGTAGGAAACAGGGCATCACCAAGCCCCTGGGACAGCCCTGAGCAACAAGCTCCCATCCCGAGATGGCTGCAGGTTAACGATGCTTTATTCTTAATTAGATCAAACAAGAAAAGATAGTCCCCACCTCTCCTTTCTGTGTATAAATTGATACAAAACTGCAGGTTTGCATTTCCTTCCTGGTGCTGTGACACCATCTCCAGCACCCAGCCATCACGGTCCCCAGCACCTCCCCGGGACCCGCTTGGCTGTGAGCTGTCACCCCACCCTGGGAGCTCAGCCCTTTGGGACCGCAAACCTTTCGTGTCCCCTCCACCATGGCTGGTTGCTCACCGCCTTTCCCTGCCAACAGCACACTGCGCTCTGCTCCCCGGGGATCTACATCCGCACCCTGATCGAGGACGGCCCCGCGGCCGCCGACGGCAGGCTCTCCATCGGGGACCGCATCCTGGCTGTCAACGGCACCAGTCTCATCGGGGCAGACTACCAGAGGTGAGTCGCACCTCGCCGGAGGGCCCCGTCTGGTAGCGGCACTGTGGGAGTTGCTGCTCAAGTCCAGGTTCTCAGCTGTTTTGCAGCAAAGAGCTGCTCAGGGTCTCTGAGCCCCTGGTGCTGCGGTCCCAGCCGACATCGCAGAGGACGCTGCGGTATGGGCCAGCTGCAGAGAGAGGAATAATGTGCACAGGACAGTGGAAACGGGGGGAAGGCAGCTTTTTGGGCAGTTTGGAAGAGGGATCAGGGAGTGAGAGCTGGAGAGCACATCTGGGAAATAAATGAGAGGCCCAGAGGTGGGTCTCAGCAATGCAGAGCTGCTCCAGCCCCATCCCAGCCCAGGTGTCCTCTCAAAGGCAGTGGGATGGGACAGCTCGCCTGGCCGAGGCAGAGCCCGGTGCCCACAGGGCAGAGCAGCAAGGACTTGTTTGCCCTTGTCCTGGCAGCACTTGCATGGAGGCCAGGCTCCCCGTAAAGCTATGTGCAGGAGAGAAGCAGACCCTGCTTGGAACAGCAAGCAGGCGCAGAGCAGAGGCTGGCGGTGTTTTGCAGACGGGGGGGTGTTTTCCAAGTGTCCGTGACCTGGCTGGCTCCTGAGGGGCTGCCAGCCTGCAGGGAGCCAGAATTCACCTCTCTCCCTGTTGCTGCTCTCTGCAGTGCGGTGGACCTCATCCGCTCCGGAGAAAAGAAGCTGAGGTTTCTGGTTGCCAAGTCGGACATGGAAATAGCCAAAAAAATCGGTTCCAGCTGCTCCTCCTCCTAGTCCTTGTGGTACGAGGGTCCTTCTGCAGCAGCTTGCGGGTGCGGCTCTGGTCAAGGCTGGCCTCGGGGAGCCTGGAGTGCAAGAGGGAGGACCAGGACTCCACAACTGCCCCCGATTTGCTTTCTGACGCCTTGCCCCTGCGCTGCAGCGGATGAAAGGACATGCAAGGGTGGTGCATACTTCTTACTGCGCTGGCTGGGAGCATCATTCCTGATCCGTTGTCCAGTGCTGTCCTCCTCAGGAGCTCACCCATATGGGGCAGGCCTGGGCTTTGCTGTGGCAGTGGCCACCTGAGGTACTGGCACGTCAGGCTGGAAAAGAGTGCCCAGCTCTGGGGGTGGCAGAGGCAGCACGAGCACCCAGGAGCGGACTCCAACGCAGGTTGTCTTGCTAGGAGTGAAGTGCCCTGGTGCCATACCCAAAGTCAGGTGCCTTTCTGCTGCCAGGCTGCAATCTTTCTGCCCCCAGACCCGTGTTGGGATGAGAAGCGGCTGCCGCAAAGGGCTGACACCACCAGCAGCTCCCTGGGAGTCCCGGGGTGAGCCCCTTGAAGAAAAGGACCCTCTCGCCCTTGCTCATGCAACAGATTCATTGCCTGGCTCTGGCACCACGATCCTGGCTGAAGACCCCCAGGACTGACCCAGCAGCGTGGGGCATTCACAGCAAAGAACTTCCCCACGCAGGAGCCATTGCCCTGTCTGAGGGGCTCCGGCCAGCTTAGTGCTTCCGTGCCTGTGCCTGGTCCCTGCAAGCCTGGAACAGCGGATTTGTGCCAGCTGGGAGCTGAGCGAGCCCGCAGCGTGCGGTGCCAGACAGGAGCTGTGGCTGACACTAGCCCAGGCAGACAAATGACACCTTGGCAGCATGTCCTCTCCCTCCAGCTTCGCCAGGCCATCGTAGGGCCAGCCTGTCTCCTGCCCAGCTCGGAGCATCTCAGAAGTGCATGCTGCTGACACGCCTTTGGAAGGTCAGTCGATCGTCCCTGAGCAGCTCTGCTACCCGCTGCCCACAGCCACGGTGTTGGCAGAGCCGAGGTGGCAGCTCCACCACGCACCTGGCTGGTCCCTGGCACACCCGGCCTCCTGCCCGCCATGTCCTCCCCGTGCCGTTAGCAGCATTAATGGGATAAACCCAACCCGATTTCAAATATAGACAGATACCAGGACCTAGCTTTGCTGAACCCTATTAAAAAAGCCCTACATCACCCCCTGCACTTAAACCAGCATGGTCTAGGCTCTGGCAGCAAATCAGACGTCCACACGGCATCTCACAACAACAGTGCTCCGGAGATTGTGATGCTAGAAAAGGGATGGTTAACAGGGTCGGCCTTAATGAAACCTCAGTGCTGTAGATTCGGTTTCTGTGCTTAGTCTTTCACAGGGGAAACACTCCGCTACTGGATTTCAACACAGCCTCACCTGCCTTTTCTAGGGCAAGACAGACCTTCACCGAGACACTAGTGCCTTGCTTCTCTGCTCAGCCACGCTCACGCCAACCGGCCTGGGGACTGTGACCAACCCCCCCCCCCTGCCACTGACTCAGCTGTACCAGGCAGGCGAGCAGAGGCTCAGGGCCCCACAGGGCTCCTGGTGATTCACCCCACTTTGAAACAAGTAGGTATGGTGGCCTGTCATCCTCCACCGAGCTCAGCAGGTTTGTAGGGCAGGAAAGGGGCTGCCAAGAGCCCCTGGGCAAACTGCACGCACTCCTTACTCCCCTCTGCCCTCGGGGGAGGCTTGGTTTGTACCGGGGCTGCAGCCTGGCAAGTTCCAGCAGTACCAGTGCAACCCTCTGCTCCCCACTGAGCCCGATTCTCCAGGCACCCCCGGAGGTGGGAAAGAGCCCCAGAGCTGTGTGCTGCTCACAGTGCAGTCAGGTATTGGAACAGACTGTAAATAAACCCTGCTATTTACTAGCGTGCATGAGGGCTTGCTTCTCCTGGGAGGAGCAGCGGGACGTATTGACTTCCCCCGTTTGTTAATAGTGTACAGCTCGAATGTGTATAAACTTCTCGTGCAGATACAGAACACAGCATGGCGCCTGTTGGACACGGGGCTGATGTACGTTAAGAAATGCTCTTGGTGTCAACAATAAACTGGATCAATAAATCTCTCTAAGCTCTGGTCGGGTAGCTGTCTCTTGGCTCTCCCTGTGCTCACTCTGATGGTAAGACAGAGCAGCAGTGAGGGCTTAATGGAGTCACCGCTGCTTTCTGCACCTCGCACAGGGCTTTCCTTCGCTGATCTGCTGCAAGTAGAGAGGCAATAAGAGAAGAACATGCACAGCCAGGGTGTAGCGAGGACAAAGGCGAGGGAGAAACAAGTCAGAGGAGGGGAGGGAAGAAGAAGTACATCTCCAGAGGGGCATGATGTGCTGGCAGGGCATTAATGCATGCATTCACTCTCCAACCACATCCACATAAATCCACTGGGACTTTCAATCCATACTGGCCAGGGAGAGATAAGACAAGCTTAGAGACAGAAAAGCAAGATGCGCTAGGAGACAGAAGTACAAACAGCCTCAGACCAGAAGAGCAGCTTCAGCTCTACTTATTCCTGTTTTCTGTTTCATTCACAATCATTTGTTCCTCATCTCCAGTTCGGAGCAGGGCCACAGCCTTGAGCGTCAGCAGTGTCCGATGAGTTACAGTGGAGGCTGGAGCCTCTCAGAAACCTCATGCCCTCACCCTGGCACGAAGCCAGGCGTCGGCTCTAGGAGACGGGTGACTATCCTCAGGGCAAAATGGAGGGAGTCATTCACCTCTCTCTGAAACCGTGTAGTGGCTACGTTTACAGGAGGCGTGAACACAAACTGAGCCACACTTGGCATTTTCAGTAGGTTCATGAGCTCAGTTGCCCGGATAAGGAGCTGCTCAAGGTCCTCCTCGCGATAAACAGCGGTGACAGCAGGGCTTTGCACAAATGTCCTCATCTTGGACAGGAACATGGACGTTCTGCAGGAGAGAAGGACATGGACATCAGCTGGCAGGACCTCTGCTCCCAGCAAGGTCACTATTTAAGCCTGTGTACCCCAAAAGAGACTGTTGCAGGTGAACAGCAGCTGCTACCCAGCGCCTCCTCCTGATGCACAGAGCGTTAGTCAGCAGATGAATCCCACTTCCCCAAACTGTGCTCCTCCACAGCTTGCTTCCTCCGCCCTGTTTCAGTTTCAGGTTCCTCAGTTGCCAAGCCTGATTATTTAACACTAGCAAACATCCGTGTTTGGACCCATGAGATCTGCACGTTTCAGCCCCTTGCCCTTCCCCACCACCTCTCCTCACCTGGGAATCAAGTCCTGGCTGCACGCTGCCAGCTTGGTCAAGGTGGCCATAAGGACACTGATGGCGCGGGGTGCATAGCTGGGGGTGCTGGCCAGTGGTCGGAGCTGGGTGATTTCAAATAGCACGACCTCTAGAGTCTCAAAGAACCGGCTGATCTGCTCCACAGTGCAGCGCTTGTCGTAGGACACAGACATGTACTCTCCAATAGCCCAAACCTGAAGCAAAGGCAGATGTGCTCAGGGCAAGCAAAAGGAAAGGGAATTGAATAATTTTTAGGGAACAGCAAATCACATTAACTAATGTGAGGACAGAGGAGAGGAGGAAAGAGAAGGTGACCAACAGATTGCACTGCAGTTGGAGCAACACATGGCAGAAGCAGGCAGGCCCTCCTTACCATGTGGGTGAAGATGGCCTCCTTGTTCTGGATGTTGCTGACTGTTCCCGAGAACTCCAGAATCTCTGTGGACTGCTCCACAATGAGCGCAGGGCGCAGCCAGCAGAGCATCGCCAGCTGCGAACCCAGCACCCTGGAGGAGAGAGATGGGCAGAGCTCAGACCACAGGCACGGCGGTCATCACCGAACCGAGGAGCTGCTGACAGTACCCGGCCACCGGCACAGTGACAGTACGCTCAGGGTGTTTCCAGCAGGGCTGAAGCTGCAGTCCCCATTCTGCACCCTCCAAAGATGTGTTGCAGCAAGGACTGGGCCACAACTGAAAAGGCTCCTGTGCTGCCCTGGGCTGCCAGGCTGCAGCCAGCAGAAGGGCTGGGAGCTTGGCTGGGCCTCCTGTCCCATCTCACCTGTACACGTCATCTCTAAAGCCTGGGATCTCGTAGAGCTGGTCACTCCTCTGCAGCAGCAGCACCACCAGCTGGTTTATCAGCGGCCCATCTGCAAACTGAAAAACAGCCCTTGTTTCAGCAATACCAGCGACTTCCAGCAGCTAAAAAAACAAACCAACCAGCCAGAGAGGACTAGGCTGGCACAGAAACAGCCCGACCTAGCAGGAGCGGAGCAGTGCACAGAGCAGGCACCAGGCACCCATTCTGCTCTCGCCCACCTCCTTCACAGCTGGCTGAGAGAACAGTGTGAAGACCGACACTGCACCACGGAGCTTTTCTGCTTTTCTGGATGAAGAAGCCAGCTCAGTGCTACACCATCCTACCTTCTCCTCACGTGCCCCTCTGTTGAAGCTGCAATGTTGTAACATTTTTGCTTCTACAATTGCTCTTCACACAACGAGAACCCCGTGACGTGACTGGGAGCCAAACTTCCCCGAGAGGGCCTACCTCTGCCACCACCCTGAAAAAGAGCTCCAGTAAGACAGGAACAGTGTCCGCACACTGCACGACCCTTGGGCTGCTGGCCAGGGATCCCAGCAGCTGCCGAAGTGGAATCAGCCTGTGGGCAACAAAAAAGTTACTGCTGAAGGCTTGTTCCTAGCTACTCTCTTGGCTGTCCTTCCCTATCCCCCCACCAGGCCTTTGAGCGCTTGGCAAAGACAACACAGGGAAGATCAAATCCACCTCACCCCAGCTGAGAGCGGCTGTGCCTCTCCCAGCAATCCCAGTGCTGCCTCCCAGAGCTGGATGGCTGAACCACCCCTTGTGGCAGTCTCCTACCTCTCTGGGGCATCCTCGGGAGTAGACTCGGTGCGGAGAAGATATTGGAACATGTTCTTGTAGAGGGGATGGCGAAAAGCTTCCAGACAGGTGGCCG